CGATAGAAATATTGAAGCAATAAGTATTCGCACAACTGTTTAAAAGTACTTTCCTGGAAATTTCATGTTTTCTAATTTTCACGGAGCAATAAACTAATGTGTTTACGTTACAAACTCTGCTGTAAATGGTTCGACATAAGAATCGTACAAATACTTATTGCTTCTATACTTTCACCCACTTTTCGCATTTTTTTTGTTAATTTCACAAATTATATTAACTAGTAAATGTTGTTTGGACTATATCCATCTTAGAGACTTCCGAGAATATGTAAAATATCATTGATTATAAAAAAGGAAGTTAAGAAACTACAATTTCACACAAAAGTTTTTTGGGAAATTGATCGGTGTACGAATACATTCTACACCTACTGTATATTACACCATTTGGAATGTTAGACAAATTTTATTTAAGCTTAAATCCTTTTTCTCTACCCATGAAAATATGAATTTGCATAAACATACGCAGTCTATTTGTAAGTATCCGAAGACTAGTGAAATAAATCTAATCGTGTTGAAGAAATTCTATCCTCGAGTATCGTAAACCTTTTTCAACCGATGGAAACAGATTGCCCGAGTCTAAGGTGCACCTACGGCGATCAATTTCGTAAAAAAGGATCGTTTCCACCGCTGGTCGACACAGATCCATCGACAGCGTTACCGAATTGTACTACAATGCTGTTAACATTTCCCTTTGTCCGGATCACCGCCATCTCCGTCGATTCGATTCCGTAAATCGTATGCTCGGACCGATACGATCGCTGCACGATCGGTTTCGGTATATAAGTCTTGCAACGAGTTTTTTACTACGGAGATCGATGATTGGACTTGCCCGTTTCACTTGAAAATCTAATTCTCCTTCCATATGCTCGAGACAAGCTTTCTTCGAGGTTTCGTTTTACGTAGATTTTGCTTTCAAGGAATATTTCTTTATTTGCAGAGTAATAAAAAAAATTCTGTAGAGCAAGAATAATATTTTTAGAATTAAATAAATGGCACTGTTATGCCGTTCTGCTTTCTAAAATGAAATTTATTTCGGTTTCTCTGCTCGAAAGAAGAAAAGGAAGACTATTAAAATTATTTGGGCAACTCCGAGTCCCAGTTTCGATGATCGAGAGGAATTTCTCGCAATCCTGGAAACACGGTGGTTTTCACGGAACGACTTTGCGAAACTGTGGCCGCAAACTCGAGGCGTTTCGGTGAATCGACGAAAATTAACAGCCGCGAAACGAAATTGAAGTAGCCGCTGCGTAATACTTGAAACGTGCGAGCCCGAAACTTCACGGGAACGACCCTAATGACTGTCGAAACTTAGTGGATCGACACGGGGGGGGGGACTAACAAATTTCAAAGTGTACAAGACGAGCTCCACGATATCATATTAAATTTTCAAACTGATAGCGGTTGTAGTTTTACCGCGAAAAATTCTGGAAGAAATGCCCATTTTTAACTTGAGAGTGATTCACGAAGAAAGCCCTGCACTAACATAGTATTTAATAACTCATTTTCTACCAAAGCAATTAATACACCAAAATTCATGTAGCACCCTCACAGATGTACCAATGTTCTCAAAAAGTTTCAGGTCGACCTCTCGTTTATTAGTTTAAAAAAAAATCTCAAATATTGCCTCCTTTTTGACTTGAAAGAAAACGAGGAAATCCCCTTCCAAACACATTATTTATTAACTCACTTTCTACCAAAGTAACTAACCCACAAAAATTCATGTAGTCTCTCCACAAATGTACCAATTATCTCAAAAAGTTTCAGGTCGACCTCTCGCTTATTGGTCTCAAAAAAAATCTCAAATGTTGCCTCCTTTTTGACTTGAAAGAAAACGATAAGAAATCCCCTTACAAACATATTATTTATTAACTCATTTTCAACCAAAGTAACTGACCCACAAAAATTCATGTAGTATCTCCACAAATGTACCAATTATCTCAAAAAGTTTCAGGTCGACCTTTCGTTTATTAGTCTCAAAAAAAAATCACAAGTATTGGCTACTTTTTGACTTGAAAGGAAAGGAGGACGAGGCACGCGGAAACTCCCTTAAAAAGATATTCAAAGCGATATCAAGAATTCTCGACGCCTCTCGATAAGAGCCGCTAACGAGCAGCGACTTTTCACCGAAAGCTGTCCACGCGAAATAAGCCAATCTGTTCATTCGTGGAAGCGTTTTAGAGCGTGTAGCCGTATTTGGGGCCGCGGGTACGGGAAAAAAAGAGGTTCCCGTGCACCCTTGGGGCACACCCTCGGGGACCAAAGCCGAGCTGCTTCGTTTCCGCGTGTACCAGTTATCCGGCGACCCGACGCGTTACGTAAACTGACATTTTCGCGGCTAACGCGAATCGGCGAGCCGCCGCAGTCGACAAGTCGATTCCACCGGAGTTCACTGGCAAAAGCACCGTTTACAACGGCCTCTTTACATAATTCCCATCGAATCGACACAATGCTACATTTGAGAAATTCGGCTCTTTGAGCATTCGCGATTAAATTGTTTCGAAAGTGAACGAACATGAAATACTAGACGTGGAAATTAATTTTCTGCTTTAATTCTTTGACAATCGATACTTTGAGTGATAACAGAAAATTCCGAAAATTATTTTCTGTTAAATTTATAATATACGAAGATTGGGAACTTCATGGGGGAGCAATAGCGTCTTCGACTGATTTGTAATAAATAATAATACACGTGAAAATAAATAATCGATTCGCTAAAGCAACCAGATTTCGATCCCGAAAGTTTTTGGCTGACCTTTTGAAAAATTTATCGCCATTTCGGTCGAAATAATACCGAAACGATACGTAACGTGAACTATTTGCGATATTTAAATAGTAGCCGCCGTTCACCGCTGCGATCGGTTTTCCTTTTCGACCTTCGAGAGCGATTCAAAAGACAACCGCGCAAAACGAGGCTAGCCAACGAGTTAATCCTCTTTATAGTCGACGAACATATGTGTTTCATTTGTCAACGTTACAAAAATATTAACGTCGATTTTATTGTATGAACGTCTACTTCCAACTAAACTAAAAACGCATGTTTTATCGAGTGAATATTTAAAGAATAAAACGAAGAGATCTGTTTTATGTACAAATACGTACTTAGGAACGAAATAAAAACAACAATATTATTTTTGTAACGTTGCTCGGTAGATTAAAACAAAATTTACTTCGTTACTATTCTTTTCGAAGATTACGTAGACGAGAGGAGAAACGTCGAATAAATTATCTTTGTTTCGCGTCATACGCGATGGAAAAAAAGATGGCAAGAATGTCACAGGTTATACAATTGATGACGTGCTACAGCTAAAATTAAAATAAATTTCTGCCGTCATGATTCAATCTTTCCATTTTATTCGCTCATTCTAATCGAGCATTTAACTCGTCTTTATTAGACTTTTATTCCATTTTGTCTAATGATGGGGTCCTCAATAGTGAGAAAATGTTTAGTAAACAAACAACAAAAGATAATCATCGTAAATCTCCTTATTCTTGCCAAGGTCTCGGAACATGTCTAATTAAAACAAATACAATACTTGGAATGGCACGCTACGTGTTAACAATTTCTCACCAAACAAAGCTCAAAAAAAAAAAAAAAAAATATGTCGAATAGTTCAACGGTAAACATTTCCTCAGTACCGAAGACCACGCAAACTCTCACAATGGGATTTTCTAATTAAATTAAAATCCCATGGGAACATACAGTCAGTCTCATAAGTATTCGCAGCTTCGATATCTGTTCAAGAAATTTGCGTAAATTAAATAATAGGCTTAATATTAAATAAATTTTTCATCAGAAGTATATACATGCGTAAACTCATATACATATTTATAATGAAAAATTTAGTTGGAAAGAAAAAAATCAAACCTATCATTTCATTTAGGCAAATTTCTTAGATAGACATAGAGTGTACGAATAGTGACAGGACCGACTGTGGATTCCGCTACCGATTTGTCATCGATGAAAGGTAACAAGAAATCTGTCAAATTGGTCACTCACCCACTGTGGAGGCGGCGGCCAGCAGGAGCACCACGCTGCTCGCGACGATCATCTTCGTCTCCCTGTGTGGATCCTGTTCGGTCCGCGAAACGATTCACGCGTGGACGGTACGTTGAAAAATCTCCTTCGGGGTGGCTAGTCGAACGTCGCAGTATACGCGCACATGCGAGTGAAATCGCGATGGTAAACAACTGAAACCGTGCGAGGGCCTGGTCGCGCGATCGAGCTGACTACGGACGCGTACGCGTGATCCTCGCTACGACGATTTCCTTTCGTTCCTTCGTGGATCGCGTTTCTACCGAGCATGGACAGCAACTGGCTGCGGGGTTGTTGGCACGCTGGTGAATTCGTTGGAAATCCAGCAGGGGGTGCAGGAAAGCCAGGCGAGAAGAGAAGCAGGGCAGCGAAGGCTTCGATGTTGGGCGACGATCAAAGCCGCGAGAGCTCCATCGACGTCGCAAAACATATGCTACGGTCACGAAGAGAGAAAGGTGACTGGATATACGCAAGGCGTGCTCAATACCTCCTGTCTTCTTGGCATAGTCACCTTTCTAGCAAACCAGCAACAAAGAAGAAGGGGAGCGTTGCTCGGCGTACCGCGTGGCCACCACCATTCTCGCTAGCCCGCGATCTCCAGAACCGATTCGACGATGATGGTGGGGGTGGTTCTGGCTGGGGGTCGGTGGTAGTGGTGGCTGGTAGCGCTCGGTGGTGGTGGCGCGACCAGGGCCCCATGGTGGTGGTTCACCGAGCGTCTACGGTGGTGGTGGTACCGATCCCAATTGCCTTCCACGACGAAATCCGCCTTCCTTCGAACAGATTTTTTCCCCGCGTCTCGTATCGGTAACCCTGAAACCATTCTCGGCTTACGTGACCAGCGGACGGGTGAAAAGTTGCTCTTTCTCCTCTGAAACGAAATACGAAGGGTTAGTAACAGAACCAGGATCATGTAAGTAGTCGATAATAATTCTAATGCTGCGGGGAACACTCGAGTACGCGTTTCATACACAGATGTGCACGTTTCTTACGATTTTAAAATGCGCTCAGACTCTCAAGTTCGCCCAGAAATTTATAAAAATCGGAAATCAAAAATCTGCTCGAGTACTTATTACAAATCTACGAAATTCACTAATTTACAAATTTTTTAAAGACTCGCATGAATGCCATATTTTTAGAAATTCGTTTACAATCGATAAAGACTTATGAACTCTCGCGCGTGTAATACGAAAATGTTCACATTTATTGCGATTATAAAATGCACTTAAATTTTAAACTTCGTCCAGAAATGTATAAAAATGGAAAATTAAAAATCTGCTCGAGTATTTGTTACGAATCTACGAAATTCGCTAATTTACAACTTTTTTAAAGACTCGCAATAAATATCGTATTTTTGGAAATTGGTTTACAATCGGTAAGGACTTATGAATTCTCACGAGTGGAATCTACAGATGTGCATATTTCTTACGATTATAAAATGAACTTAGACTTTCAAGTTCGTTCAGAAATTTATAAAAATCGGAAATTAAAAATCCGCTCGATTACTTATTACAAATCTACGAAATTCACTAATTTACAACTTTTTTAAAGACTCGCAATGAATACCATATTTTTGGAAATTTGTTTAAATTCGAACCGGGCTCGTGAATTCTCGAAAGCGATCTACATTTGCGCGTGTAGAGTAATTGATATGTCGAAACGATCCGCCTTTGTTCAGAGTCTGTCTCGGAGTCGCACAATCTAAAAACGAAAGTATAAAAATACAGGGTGGGGCGTTCAAGACAGGTAGCCTGGTAACTCGTTTATTTTCAAGGGTAGAAAAGAATGTTCGAGGCAGAAGTGGTTTGATTACCCGGCGGGGACGTAACGCGGGTGACGCCTTTTCGGTTTCTAGAGAATAGAAGCGCCAAGGACGTCCCAAGGTCTTTGATATCTTTCGTTAATTTCTTTCGACTTTATTTATCGCTCGATAGAGACTATGTTAAAAGACACTTCGTTAAAAGACTACCGACGAGAAGGTGGATCGTGGGTTTGTATAAAAACTTTATTCTCTTGGCCATATAAAATCATTCATATTTGTTCAAATACATGTTATTCTGACGCAACAAGATTACATCGACGTTCTGCATCCGATTAATGAAAAACCATCGATTCGCTAAGTAATGTCCAACTGTCTACGTCAATGTTAAAATACCCTTCTGTTAGAATTAAAAATAATGTTATTATTATTATTATTATTATTATTTTTTTTTTGTCATTTTTGGTACCGTAACAAACGCAACACTATCGCGAGTACCTTTTGTTCGGAGCAAAAGCGATCGTTTTTGCACAGTCCCGTACGTAATTACATTCAAAGGGCCCGAAGAGTTCGCAGGAAAAAAGAAGCGAGTAATACCAATTATCGTAAAGTGAAAAAATAATTCTACGATATTATAATACCTATCGAATAAAGAAAGAACATTTCTTGGAAAAAGAACGATTCTTCGTTCCTGCTTACCCTTCGTGTAGCGAAATCAGCGATACGATAAAAAATATAACATTTCTCGTTAACATATATATTATATATAACGCACAACGTATGTGTGTGTGTGTATGTGTGTGTGTTTTTATCGCGACAGAAAAATGCCATTGCGTGGAATTACAAAATCCTTTTGAATCCTGTTCTCCGATGATTACGAATATATCACATGATAATTATAAACGTATCACATATACATATACATATATGTACACATTATATCTTTTGCGTACGTCGTGGAAACACAAATACACGGCATCGAGGGGCGGTAGAGGGGGGAGTAGGAGGTTTCACCTTTAATGCGAATATTGTTTGCTTTTCCTTCGGTGCGTACCAATGTAAACGAACGTGAACGACTAGACGTACTTGCGATATTGTCACAAGTAATTTCTTACTTCCTCTTAAAAGTCTCCCGAGAGCTCGTTAAAATGCAAACGGAACCGACGAAATGTACACGGAATCGATATAGAAGCTGCTGTACAGGTGTTCGCTAAATGGAACAGAAATTTAACATACGCGCTCTTATACATAGACGTACGTAAAAAACCTTGGAATACCTTCTACGTACATGATTACAACTTACGAATAATCTGCGCTACGAGCGCGCGCAGCGAAACTACAAACTTTTGCGCGTTGAGAAACCGTGTGTATATTCCCATCGCGCAAGGGTCGCGTTCGTCGAAAGAACGTTGACTGCTTAACAATTTACGCGAAAAAAATAGTACACGTCGATGACCGTGCCTTACGCTAATCAATGATCCTTTAAACTAGTCGATTGACGGAGTGTAATTAAAAATGTGTAGATGCAAAAATAAACAGACGATTCACGAAAGCTCTCGGACAGTTCAGGATTTCGAGCTTTCGTTTTCACATGGATAATGTTCATCTCTGAGGTTTGCGCAAAGATGTTTGTAAACGACTAGGGGCTGGCACTGTTCGAGTTGCTTATTATTGCTATGCGTGAGTATTCGAATACTGTGATTGTGTGAGTATTTATGCATGACTATTCAAATCTCTTCAGTATTGTTGTATTGACGTGTGAACACAATATGGATCCGATGGTAGAAATTGTATTATACATTTCACACCATTGCAAAACCAGCGAAATGCTTCTTCTTCCCCTTAAAATACTTTTTCCTAGAGCTGGAAATATAATGCCTGCAAAAAAGAAGCTGTTTAAAACTGATAAAACTGAAAGACACAGACACATCAGGTTCTCCTTGTCAAAATAGAAACGTTGCGTAACATCATCATTTTTTCCAAATGATAACTAGACTGCGAATCTTTATGCATATATAGGAAATTTGAATGTGCAAGAAACTACAAAATGGAAACAATATGCAAGAGTATAGAAAATATTGATAATAAAGTTCATGTTATAACGTTTGGAAAATAAAATAAATTCCTATTTAGGTTCAATTTTTGTAGGAACGATCGCGAAGATTTTATTTTGCATAAAGATCCGCAGTCTAATGATAACGGACTTTGATAGATGGTGCCAGCCCCAGTGACAACGAAGGATAGAAAGTAAGCGTTTGGTAATAATTCAATTTTCTTTTTGTCGAGCGATCAATTGACTACGATTACAGTAACTTGCGTAGCATCAAAGGCCGGCATTAAAAGTCGAAGAACTCGTCGAATAATGTTTTCCTTATTTTTTCCTTTTTTTTTTTTATTATTTTGCTCGTTTTATTAATAACTATGAAACGATTCGTATGTACATCAATATATAACGGCGATCGCATATGCCAAGATGCGCGTCGTGGCCCGATTCGTATTTAAACGATATAGGATAACCCTAATTAGTTTGTACAAAATTCATTCGCGAATACATAAAAGCGCAAAGTATCGCCGTTCCTTGCGAACGAAGGTTAATCTTCATCCACCAACGAGCTGGTGGCGTGATCGCAGGATTGCGATAGTTGCACATGGTAATTGGCAAACTCACAATGTTCCCTATAGGTTGGAATTAGCCGCGCGTGTGCGCGCACGCGGCCGTAACAGCAATTTACACCACTATCGTTTCGAAATGTTCCGAGGCTATATAGGATGCTCGTCTCAAGGGTAGATAACTGCGTAACTGATAAAATATCCTGTATAATTCTAATTACTAACTAATTCAATTTGCCTATACTTCTTGCGCAAGTTGCTTACAGAGTCTTTGAACAGAACAGGGTCGAGCCTCATGTTGGATCGCAATAACGGCATGTAACCGAAAACGGCTACGAACGTATTCATGCACGTTTGCCGTTGTATGAAATGGTCTGGATCGTTCCAAGGCGATCTGAAAATTTGTTGGGTCGAACAATAAGGTTAAACGATCGACCGCGAGGGTCGCGAAATTAATTCTCCTCTGCGCAGGTATTACGATTAAGGGTGCGCAGGAGCCAGAGCCAAACTCCGAGTTGACTTCAGCGACAGTTGCGGAAAAAGTAGGAAACTTCGGGACAAAGACAGAGAGAGCGATACAAAAATTTCAGGAGAGACGAGGACAGGGCGATTAGGCTAGCATGATTTTTTCCAGGATATTGAAGCAAAGAAGCAATATCTTTGAAAAAAATCATGCTAGCCTCATCGCCCTGTCCTCGTCTCTCCTGCAATTTTTGTATCGTCCTCTCTGTCCTTGTCCCGGAGTTTCCTACTTTTTCCGCAACTACCGCTGAAGTCAACTCGGAGTTTGGCTCTGGCTCCTTGCGCACCGGTTTCGGAATAGTAAGTAACGTAAGTGCATAAAAATCGTATATTTATGTGGATTTCGTTAAAGGAAACTCACATCCTTTATCAGAGGAAAAGTAACTTGCAATGGTTTTGGCACTTACGTCATTTACTATTTCGACTCCTCGTTTGTAAGATGGCAGGTAATTCGGGGTGATCGAAGTCGATAAAACGAGGAAACGAAAGGATAAAATGGCATTAGTTGCGCAAGTTGCGAATATATAAACTATTAACGAATTATTTTTTGCTGGTTTTATTTCTAACCTACAGTATCCTCGACGCATTGGCTAAAATGTGCTAATTGGCTAAAATCTTTGTTTAAGATTCTGTAAATCGTTCGACAGAAACATTCTTCTCTATGGAATTGAAGAAGATACATATTTTACGTGATATTTTGTTCTAACCTACTTGTCTGTTGTCGTCTACTTCACGAAACGATGGACACGGGCCACAACGAGAACCACGGTACAAAACTACGTACAATAAACTTAAAAAGCGTCGATAAATGCCATCACTAGCCAAAAGGACCGAAGCACAGCTCGAATTCGTACATCACGAAACGCCATGTTTGAGCGGGAAACAAATTTGAGCGAGAAATGAGCATCAACCAGCGCCGACTACTGGCGGAGACTTCTAGTACTAAACGATAAATTGGAAGTTCGATTATCGAAATAACGATCCGAATTTTAACGAATTGCTAGAAACTTCGATATTAGTCGGCCATTAACATTAAACTGTAACGGAAAATTAAAGTGAAAGTAACGGAAAATGTGAGAAATATGATCGCGATTGAGAAATAATGTTTGCTTAACGGGGTTCCATGCGATTTCGCGCGCGCCGAGTTCGAACGTGAAAGTAGAAGCTACTAGAAACAATTGTGTACCGAAGTGAACATGGAAAATCATTCGTGTAGGAATGGAGGGAATGGAGATGGGCGGCAAAGATGGTTCAAGAAGTATACCTGCGCAGTGGTTCGACTAAAGGTACGTAATGCATACCTGATTCCAGCCACAGTAGTATCTTTATACAATTTCCTTTGTGTCACTTTGATGGGTGGTCTTCGAGTGACGTGACTTACTAAAAAATTCATAAGTATGTCTTCGCAATTCTGCGACTGTTCAACAGTCTTATGAAGGGTCGAACTCAGTAATTCGGTGTACAACGTATTATAATAACGATGATAGAAGGCGGCACCAGTTAGAATTATACTATAATCATTTGTCCATTTGCTTGTGTAGCCCCACGAACGCTTTAAAAATTCGAGAAATTTATAAATAACACGAGCAACGTTGAAAGAAAGAAAGCTGTATTCGAAATATTTCGACCCTGCTTACTTTAGAATCGTCCCAATAATGCGATCTTGCTGGGTAGCCAACTATTCGATCAGGAAACGATCGCCAAACGGTAAAGGCGAAATCAATCTCGTCGGTATTGAGTGTGGCATCTTCGTCTAGCGATAATATGGCACTAGTTTTGATTAACGGGTGAGGAGAGAAACGTTGGGATATACCATCGACCGTAACGATGTGTATCGATGCTTTGATCCCTTGCCAACGTGGCCTTCTTGGTAGCGGAATATCCGAGTTCCACATTAGAATAATCTGAAACGTAAAGCCGTCGTGTATTTTCTATTCGTGGTAACGAGACAGAAAAAAAGGATGATAAGGTTTTAGCACACTCACCCTATCTATGTATTTACTTTTTGCGACACTTTTAAGCAGACGATAAAGAACGGCAGTAGATCCTAACTGCGAGTAGATTATGGCAGTGAAGGTATTACCCGGATTACTCTTCGAAAATGGAAGTTCTTGCTGACTATCGGCGAATTGCGGTAATATAGTTAACGCTCCAGGACTAGTATTCCAAACAAGTTTTTCTCTAGTACCTTCCCATGGTAAACGCTCGCGAATATTCTAAAAAGTTCAGTCAAAACTTAGAAAATGTTGACACGGATCTCTCGATTATAATTTTAAGCAATTACCTCGAATACTGTAAATACGATTTTTTCTATAGAAGAGAAGTATCGTTCCCAAAGGAATTGTGTCTGCTGCCGTAATTTAAGTATCTGTACATTGGACACAGATCGTACTATATCTGGTATCTGAAAAATACAAAATTGATTATATCTCGAATTTTTTAGTTTTTATATAGCAAAATATAAACTGGTTTCATTTACTTGAAGTAACAGTCTTTCGTCAGAAAATATAACGGCTTGTGTCCAATCGATACGTTCGTGAAAAGGAAGTGCCCAGCCATTGCTTAAGATAACTGGAATACACCCAGCTCTTAAAGCTTCTAAAAAACGAAAACTACCGAGTCTTCTTCCTCGTGGTACGAGACAAAAGGTAGCATTCATCAATAAAATTTCATAATCGTATCTGAAATATCAAATTGAATAGTCAGTTTTGCCACACGATTAAAAAGATTATTTTCCAAATATTCATACTAACGTATCATATTCCTGATTATCCTGTTGACAGTGTTCATCTTGTAATTCTCTCCATGCTTTGCCGTGACGACAAGTCGTGACGAACACCAAGTCTTTGCCGTTATGTAAATGATAGAGAGCGTTTCTAGTCTCCGAACCAATGCCATGGACGTATCTTTTACCCTTGAAAGCTGCGACGTATTTTTTATTATTAGGAAAGTTATTTTCTAAAGCTTGACCTGGTTCTCCACCGCGTTCCGAATGTTGCTTTCCAAATAATGGTATAGAGATATCAAAATTTGGTCTATGCCTGAAGATGGACATGCTAGCTTTCGCAAGCATCGCGTATCCTAAATCGAAGGTTAGGGCCTCCTCCGCGTAATCAGGCCATGTTCCAGAATACAAATTAAATATTAAATGATTTCTTCCATTGTTCCAGTACGGTAATCGCAGCAATTTCGCAGGAAGGTTGTGCACAAATTCTGTAGACAATGGATCTCTGTCCAATGTATCCAAAGCTAATACAAATATACATGCTCGAGTCGGGTCCGAAGTATAATATCTTGATTCCGTAATAACGTTTAATATTTTTTGGTATAGCGGACTTATCACATCCTCGACTGGGTATACATATACCGTGAAACCTTGCTTGCATCTGGTAAAGTCGAAACAAGTCTCCATACGGCATTGTTTTGTACGTTGAGACATAAGAGAGTTTCCATTTGATGTTCTTAAATCCTTGTCGTAGAACTCTTCATTTAGACTTAAATATGAAGGCAATCGCTCGTAAGGCAACTGAGATCTGCCTGGCCACTTTTCACTTTTTAATCGGTAACCGCCGAAGTAACAGTAACCAAGAAACGCGCACGTTACAAATAATAATAAATAGCGTTTCTTGGCTTGCATTTTTAATGCAATCAGGTTATACACAAATATACATTAAACCTACACATTATTTCTCACGCTTAGAACATATGCATTTAATCATAAATGCATGAAAATGAAGTTCGCGTTTGTTCAATTTTGCATATATACGTGTATAAATGGAAAATTATTCTAAAATGGAATTCACTTCATTCCTAAAGTTTGCTGGAATAAAACAAAAAAAGCACATAACAAATATTAATAATAATACATACTACAGCAACTATAGATTGCTAATATTTTTATATTTAGCACAGTTAGACGATAACTCTGTACATCAGTCATTTAGAAACTACCTAGGTCACTCGGTATCGCTAGTATTCATTAAAATAATATTTACGTTACCTATCTATAAAAAGACTACCGATAAAAGAACCAGATAAATGAAATGCGAGTTTAGTTACCTTCGAATACGAATGATTCCTTATTCGCTAGCCACAGGAACGTTTCGGGAGGTCCGATCATTATAAAATACATGGCAATACGAGTGCTACATCCGTAGTAACTTCACATTTACATTTCAATTTATACAATTGTATTACCATTTACAAAATGTCGAGCCGAAGTGACAGATTGTAAACGGTCGATGGACGCCTATCGATGGTTAACCTATACGTGAATTATCACGGACGTCGCGGAAAGATAGCGACAACGTCGAACATATCGATGCCGAGGTTCGATGAAACGACGTGTCGAACTATGGTTCATACTTATTTAGGACAAATGTGTTTTCCTCGTTAGAACCGCGCAACGATGTAGGCTTTTTTTCTTTAGGTTAGTTCTGACGTACATCCAATTCGCAGAACTCGCCGGCGTTATTGCGCCCGTAGGCATTTTCGGTCGGCGTCACCACACACGCGTGACATCGATCGGTAAACGCCTCCAAGTGCAAAATCATTGCACGCAGCGCATTAAATAATTGGTTTAAAAAGCAACGCGAGTTATGCAATGACGTTGGAACGATTAGACTGGCAAATCGCTTATTGGTTCCTTCACGCGGAGGTCTCCAGAGTAGTCCAGAGATGTTCACTCGGTGTGCGTGTGTGTCTGTGCGTACGTTGTGTCTACAGATACCGTTGTAGGAGTAGGATCGTGTTTATAGCTACAGCTGGGGACTACTCCAAGAATTTTCTGTATTAGTCTCCTAGTAGTGCTATTCAGATGCTACATATTTTTATATATCGTGATGTAAATTAGAAATAAAATTTTCTAAGCTCATTCTCTTTGAAACGTTATTCTCATTTATATCTTATATGTATATATATATATACACAAACTAGGAATACTATACACTAGTTTGTGTTCATATTTTGCAACTGTCAACAGATGTTTTGTTCAAACGCTGTTTCCAGCTTAATTCGAAAATTATTGTCAAATCCGTAGCTCGAGAAATGCTTGTGACTTAGATTTGTGTGTGCGCGCGCGTGCACGTGTGTGTATGTGTGTGTGATTAAAGCACCGTAACTCCACTTCAGAAATCTAAACAAAACTGGCCATCAAGGTTATCCCGCTACCTAGCGGTCGACCGATAAAGCTCGCGAGCCGTTTCTCCCGCTCCGATTAAATTTATTAAAAGCACCTATTCTTTTTTATTGCAAATCAATACTCTATTAAGGAGCTTAATTCACCGCAAAGCTTACACGATATCGAGAAAGGCGAGCGTGACCATATTGCATGTGTTTTCTAAATGGGGTTTTATAAATTAAGACGTCACAAGTAATGTTAATTTTTATGTTTAGAGATACTATAGTTAAACGAAGTGGGAGTGTTGTGTGGGAGTATAATGAGTAACTCACCCAGGATTACGCTCTTATCACTTATCCCTCGAACGGTATAACGATAAAAGAATTGTTCACTCTTTCGAACCACGATCTTCTTATAATGCTCTTCTTTAATCACAGCATTGACTCTTTTCTTTTTTAATCAAATTCTCCGTTGAATATTCAACCAAACCGACGAATGAACATCATTAAATCGGTAACATACTTTGACGGTAGCTCCTTGTGATTTACGCAAGAACGCGTGCCACTCGAGAGGAATTCGACGACACTTTTGCTTCGTCGGTGAAATTTAATATTTCCTCGCTCTTTGAAGGAGCTTATTCCATGAGAACGCTTGCTGCACAATATTGCTCGCTCAAAGAACTGGTTCGAACTGTTTTCGCGACAAATGTTATCTAGCGACATATACAATTAAAGAGCTTCACCTTGATCGTTGATCTAATGATTGTTTTTCTAAGCGTCTATTATATTATTATCACACATTTTCCGCGAATCAACGTTTTTTCAGCATATAATTGCATACATCGACGAACGGTTTTTCTTCCGCTTAATGTTATGATTACATATTGTTACAATCTAATGGACTGCATTTAATGACCCAATAAACCAGTTATCTTTTTTGCAAAATCTTATCACTTTTTCTAATGCGCAAAGGAAGTACAATCAAGGAATGAGGTCATCTTTTCCAAGTCATTACATCAGACGTAAATAACCATTTTTTTCTGTTACAGTGTAAGTATATATTGCATGTTTTGTAACATTATGCCGACGAATATATATTAAAAATGTTACACCACATAAACTGTATCTTAATTGATTGTGCTTTTTTTTAAATGATGAATCATAAAGCAATGAAAATCAATAAATTATATGAAATGTGTTTTTATTACTATATTTTTCATCGCTTAGAGCTATAACTTGGTTCTGTTAGTAAAATAACACTGTGCACTATATATAACAGATACCAACTAAATAATGAAGGTTAATACATGCAAAAATAATTTTAATACAATGATACAATTTAGTTTACATTAAATTGCAATATAATCTACAGTTTCGTCTTTTTTTATTTCACTAGAGTCTTCTTTATCTTCTGGTTCGCTGTCATAAATTTTAAGGGGACCTGACTTGGGCTTTCTATGTCTAATTCTGGTATCAGGTTTCAACTTTAATTTACGGTTGCGTACTACTGGCCATTCTCGTATCTGTGACAAATATTCAGCTGCCATTTGTGGGCTCTCCAATTTAACCATTGCACCCCTGAAAATTGATGGGTTTTATGAATCCTGTTTTTATAAATATATCCAAACATCGATACATAATTATTTACATGTACCTAAGGTTTCCTGAATATGGTTTCAACATTTTAATCGTAACACATCCTGGAATAGCTTCTCTCAACTCTTGAATTCTCGTTCCACATTCGATATTTGACACGAACAATCTGTCAAAAAGAATTTCATTCTCTGTGAATATGGAGATTAAGTAATTGTAATAACGATAAAGCAACAAGTACTTACGTCCTCGTAACTCGTAAATTTTCCTTCACTTCAGGAATAACAATTTTTTTCTGGACCACTTTATGCGTGGGTTTTTGTATTTTCGTAACGGCAGGCGCGATTAATACACGTTTCCCATTTATCAGTACGTTCTTCGAGGCTTTCAAATTTTTCATTTTTTCCTCGTCGTTGGCAAATATCACATAGCAGTGTCTGCTGGACTGTCGAGTGAGCTCCACTTTGAAGTCACCCGTAAATAATTTCGCTACGTCCTCTTCCTTTCGTATCACGTGTGGTAAACGAACGTACAGAGCCCTTTTCTTCTCCTTCTGGCGTCGTCGCATTTGCTTCGTGGCACGCATTTTACAAGCTTTCTATCTTAATTGGTCTCTTATAAAACAGCTTTGAATACATGAAATATGTTTACGTCGCAACAAGTCACGTTGAGGTTGATCGAGGTAGCGGACGTAGTTTTAGGTTATGTTTATATGGTTTATATCTAAAGCGTGTTTAAGAACCTACAAGAATGCAAGACGCGTGTACAATAGCACGCGCTCATTTGATTCTGCGAAGTGAAGTTCACCGATTGGCCGTTACCAACGAAGAAAGGTCAAAGAGGACAAATTCTACGAATAACCCCGAGACCATGTTCGCGAGAACGAATCGACCAATCCCCGTTCGTTTCTCTCGTTGCAAGGAGCAGCGATTGGTTCGCTCGCATGTCGAACAATGGCGACATCTGGTCGCCGACGCGTATCTGGTGAAAACGTTTCTCTCGCGAGAAGTCACAGATGGCCGTCTGAAATCAACAACCGGTGCATACGAACACGAACGAGCGAAGTGACGCGGTTATGTACGGAAAACAATCGCGTCGTACGCGGAAAACATCTTCAAACATGTAAGAATCCGTAAGCGCGAGTGCTGTCGCAGTCGAATTTTACGTTTATTTTTGTTCTGCGAGAAGCCAGCGAAAACCGTAACGTCGTTTCCCGAGCCCGTCGTTGCGTTTACGAGTCAGGTTTTGTCGTCGGTGACGTACGGTTTTTTCGGAGCACCGAGGCCAAACACGAATCGACGCACGACGATGAGCGCGAACAACGTGCAGGCACTCTTCGCGTGTTCCAGATGCTTTTCGAGGCATCCGTTCGAGGAGCTTTCCCCGGGACAGCAGTTGTGCAAGGTATCGTTTTCTCGCGTTTTCTGTGCTTTTTCTCAATTTTTCCGACACCTTTCAAGCGTCGCTTTTCGCGTTCACGAGACAGGGGGCTAATAATAGAACTTTCAATTTAAATGCGTGTTTCGCGTTGCCACGACGAAAAGTTTGAAAAAGATATCGATGGTTGGTTATAAAATTTATCACACGCGAACCCACCTTTCTTTCATGGTCGAACGTTTTATTCATTGATTGTGCATGCTGGTTCCGAAAGTGTGACATAAATATCGTTCCAAAGGTTTCCGTTTTGAAGTTTTAGTTTACTCACGAAACACAGTCCTTCGATTGAAACGAATACTCTTTTACACTCTTGTGTGTTTTATGACATAGCACGAGTAGTGTATGGACATTGGACTTGGTTAAATGTTAACCTTCTGACTGTGTATGTTGTATATCGATTGCATGGAGTAGCAATTTCTTGTTTCGTGCTTTGGTTAGAGAATGGAGCAGTCAAAGGGTTAACGTGTACACCATAAATTTCTATAATTGTACGTTTTTGTTTCTTCACAAACTTTCACTACATTGTGTTGCATATTTAGGAGTGCAGAGGTGCATTCCCTGTGGTGAAATGTACGTATTGTAGGTCAGAATTCCAGCAAACGATGTAAGCACCCCACTGATACTGCTTTATATTCGTTACGATCTTATCGCTGCATCGACGCCAAATAATTCTGCTTTCCATCTTACAGAAAGGGTAACACGAGTACGATATGTAAAAAGTGTGAGCAGAATGTGAAGTCTTACGGTAAACCGTCGGCCTGCGAGTATTGCAATACCATAGCTGCGTTTATCGGCAGTAAGTGTCAACGTTGTACAAATTCCGAGAAACGGTATGGACCACCAGTCACTTGCGAACAATGCAAACAGAAGTGTGCCTTTGACAGACAGGACGAAGATAAAAAGGTGATATCCTACATAATAATGACCATTACAGTACCTTCTATAAACTATACTAAGATTGGAATTCTAGTCGATAATTCGCCATTCTTCTCGTACTGTTTATGCGCAATGTTAACCAAGTGATTAATGTTTCTGTTGAAGGTCGATGGAAAATTGTTATGTTGGCTGTGTACCCTGTCTTACAAACGAGCGTTGGCGAAAACGAAACAGTCGGACGCGGACAGAAGGGCACACTTGAAACTGGCACAGCAACGGGCGGCGAAACACAAAGAACAAAAGTAATTATACAAATACGTAATACCACAAGGTAACTTTGTGCTCAGTAGTCTTAATTCTATTCATCATTATTTCAGTGTCTCTTCGATATAAGATGACCGGGTAACGTTTATTGCGCGAGGTTCCCGCGCGTGTCTCGCGCTCATGTGACTCGTTCTGTTTCAGATTGAAAGGTCACAATAAAAGACCGCACAGAGTGGACGTTACGAAACTACCGCCCCAACCGGAAATCGCGGAGACGAATGGCCCTACTCCGGTGAAAGTGGCGAGGATGGTCGGTGCCCACGATCCTCATGATCCGAACAGTTCGGACCATGTGGTCGCGGTCACGCAACTCAAAGAAAAAATAGCCCACCTTCAAAAACAAATCACGATCAAGGACGGGCAGTTACTTGCTAAGGATAGACAGGTAGCTTCGTCGTTCCGTGGAACACCACTGAATTGGGGTTAGGTAGATAATAAAATTCACCAGTTAGCTGTGATTGACGACTGTACTCATCATGCGTAAAATTTATTTACCATTGGTTATTTAAGAGTATGTTAAGAGAACTAATATATAGTCTTTACTGTCCAATATTTCAACTGCGTGACTTAGTCTGCGTTTGACGAGTATACGTAGCTTGATACTTACGACATACATAGGTGCGCGTTCTGAAAAGAGGATGTCACAGCTGACTGGTTAATACGAAACGTTGGAAAATATTGTAAAGATTACTGTGAAGTAAAAGAACCAACCAAACTATAACGATTAGGAAACTGACTGAAGCTATATAATAGACAATCTTATTCACCTCGTGACCGTCCCTGTTCGCAGATAACGGAATTGAAGGCGAAAAACTTCACGTCGGAAACGGAGCTGCGCAACAAAATGAAGGCCACGGAGAAGGAGTACGAGAACAAGGTATCGACGATGCAATTGAAGATCTCCACATTGTTGAAGGAGGTTGCCTCGTTGTCGAAGAGTTCGAAACGGGGCGACAGACTGGCTGCCACGAAAACGGAAGCCGGGACCAACAGTGGAAGCGGAACAGACAGTCCTGTACCTTTCTAAGGTAGGACAATTCACAAGCTCATTATTCTTCGTCGATTATCGTTCGAAACTAGAGTATGTTTTCATTTATGTTTCCATTCGTCCACGCGACCCATCTTGCGATAACAGAATGTTATCGAATGTTCAACGTTCCCCGGCTTCTTAATCTTTCGTTTCCGCCAAGGGCCAAACGTTGCGAGAAGAATTCCAATTTATTGTGTTTTTAATTCTGTCCAAGTATTCGTACAAGAAATGTATTATTTTCGTTACCTCGTTCGCATATATTTTCGTACTAATACATATCCATCCGTAGCGAGTTTACAGTCACTGTCAAAAGTGTTTCAACGCCGTTTCCAACGGTCGATCGGAATAACATGCTCGAACGAAATTGATAACAACGAAAACGTTAATCTTTCCTAAATACGATGGTTCGGGTCATCCGACAGGTTCTTTTTTTATCGGTCTTTGTACGTTGTATCGTTTGGATACGTGATATGTCCGACATTAGTATCGTCATCGTCACATTTCGTTTGCGTTTGTTCGAGGCCGCGTGCTTTGAATAAGTGTCGTTTCAAATATAACAATGGAACGTGTAATATTTCGGGGAGATGAAAGACTTTTCTTGAAATTGTTTTCAGGGACTTGGTTAGCTGTGACAACACACGTGAATGTCCATACCCACATGAATCATGTGGTACATTACGTATAGTTAATTGTTTCCATTAATAAGGCAAAATCTGTATTATTTTTCTAATTAATATAGGAATGTATATTATCCTCGGCGTGTGTGCACGGGGATGCCGATGCAAGTGGCTAAAGAGGTGTTACAATCGTAAGTTAGGTAGCTTTTCCCCCTAAGCCCGTTTCGCTTCGTGTTTACGTCCTTGACCGTGGCACACGAACTTATGCGAACCGACGATACTGTGAACAGAGTACGTTCTGTGACTACGATGAAGCCACGTGTAATCGTTTAATTATACAATAAGAAAATTGGACAGGCACTCGGTCTGATGAAACGAGTGATTTAAACGAAACAAAAAATAAATAAATAAATAAATAAATAAGTTATGTTTAACGAACGTCGATGTTTGCGTGATGAACGAACAGAGTTACATGTGCAGACACGCGTACACGAACAATACACACACTATGATAATTGAGCAATAGTGCTGCTGTAAGAATTTTTTTCTATTTATAAACGACGATGAACCAGGATATGTTGATTGTAGATCAATTTACAATAAAAGGTTGAAAACGATATACCTCGCCTTATGAGTTGAAACATATCCTTGGACTTCCTTCCTGATCGAAGGATACGTATTCCCGTTCGATCGTCTAGCGATCGAATGGGGAGCGCAATGTACGCACGAGTGTTGAAAAGATGTTTCTGAATCAGGGCTGAGACTCGTCGAATTCTTCTGTATTCGAATACCGTTCGAATGTTTTGTGCACTGACCGAGTACATCTCGATGGTCATAGTACGTATTTGGATCCTTCGAGTACGCTGTTCGTTTTTAAATGCTCATACCGTATGCCTAAATAATCACGTATATAACGATAATACAGATTGCTCAATTCAAATAGTTCCTTGTTCGAAGGATTACATGAAAACAATTAGCAAAGAGTAATTAATTGTGTACGAAGTTGTCGTTATAAAGGAAAATTGCAATACCCCAAGAAAGGGATCCAAGAATTCGAAAGCTACGATGCTGTGGTGTTCGTGCCGAATTGTCGATGACACCGACTCTAAACTAGTCCAGAAATTGCCGAATGTTCGCACTACTCGACATTCGAATACCTGTAAGATAGTTGAATATTAAATCACGCGACTGGTCTCAGTCCTACTCTGCCGTTTTCTTTTGTCTCCCGTGGTCGAACGCGTAGCTTCCCGACTTACAGTTAAGGGGCAGGTGCGAATGATAGGTAGTGACATGTGCAATATAAATATCCAACAGCCATATATTTATTCTTTATTTTAAGAAACAAATGCTAATTGAGCATTACCTATTCAATAATTGTAATGATAATAAATGCGTAACAATTTTACTATATACGAAGTGTAAGGATAATTAACATTTAATTTATAGTCGTTTAAATACGTTACGAGCGCTTACACGCGTATACAGTACAGAGTTGGAGTTTATCGTTTAATTATTACGAGATGGTAAGAACTAAATATTGCTTGTTGTTTTGTTGACGAGGCGGTTTAGTCGCTTGCTTCCTTCCATCATATCTACTTTCAGCGGTATTTACACGATCTTCTCGGTTTCTCCTTTTCATTTCTCTACAACCGTCTTTCATGTTCTTTCGTACTCCTCCTCTCCTCCTTTTTTCTTTTTTTTTTCTTTTTTTCCGCAGTTTAAATCTTACAAGCTAGGTTCAACTTTCTCCCTCTCGCTCATTCGTACATGCACACAAAACATGTACACACACACACACACACACACACACACACACACACACACACACACA